CGGCGACGGGGCTGACGTGGGTCGACTCGGAAATGGCTTCTGAGTTCAGTGGTGGTCTTGGTTTCGTGATTGAAGGGGTCCAGATATGATTTCTGAATTGTAAAAAAAACGAAACCGTGAAAAAAAATGGAAAAAAAAAGACTATGGAGGTTTACAAGAAGACCACAGGATAACCTGCTCTTGATACCATATTGGAATATAAGACTGAAATGTATTTTTTTCATATATAGATTGACACCCCAAAGGGTTCTATTTATACATATTACAAGGTAGTTAAGGAGATGAAGTAATAAATAAAATACACAGTAACCGAAGAGGCATCACACTATTCAAAGATACTAGTAGCTAGAAACAAGTAAAAGACTCTAGAATATTCTACAATTACCAATCATAAGGCCAAGTATTTACCAAACAAAAATTATAAATATGATGATCGCCTTTTCCATGTAAGCAACAACTTACTAATGACAAGTTCCAAGCTTGTAGGCATCATAAGGCCCCTTCCCCTCATATGTGTTATTTATGGTGCATGCTCACTACTCAGAATCAATTCAATGTCTATTCTTCCATTGTTCTGTTAATGTTTATCTATAGAGCCTATTAGAATGTATATTCAATTGGCTATTAGTCCCACAAAAAGTAAATAGGGCTAAAGCCCATGTAATTATTGATATAAATATAATCCCAGTGTGGTCACAACACACACTCACACATAGTTTCTCAATTTCAAGTTGGTATCAGAGCTAACGTTATAGTAAACCTTGCTTCCATAGAACCCTAATTCTATTGTGCCCATTGCACACAATGGCCGTCATCACCCCTTTCCACGCTTCATACCAGCAACCTTCCTTCACTGTCGCGCAATTTGTGACTCGCTCTACCGACATCAGCGATAGTCCAATCATTGTTCAATCAAACTCTGTTGTCAGCCTTTACTATGACAGATTCTCCTGACCTCATTCACAATCGTCTTGGACATCCAAGTTTATATTAAAAATCATACGAGAGAGCTCAAAATCCTTTACAACAGATATTTTCACCAATGGGCCAAATGACAAACCATATTAAGCGGGTTAACATCACATCTCAAACCAAAACCTTAAGGTTATAGGTCAATGGGTCATTTTGCATTTATATGGTCCTCACTTAGTTCATTTCTAATCAATGAGGAACTTCACCACTACTCACACTCTAATATGTCCTACATCGTCTCCTCAAGTCCCAGTCCTAACATCATGCTCCCCTTAAGGAAAACTTCTGTGGAATCCTCTTCTTTTTATGTATTAAAGTCACACTAGCCTTCCGTGGAGGCCTCTTCAATTGCATCACAATCACCAAATACTCAGCCCAGTCAAATCATTAGCTTTGGTACCACCGTTAAAAAATGGTACATGGGAGCCCAAAATCCTGTGCAAGGGATACTTCCACTATTGTGTACAAATGACAAACTAGGATAAGTGGACTTATACCACGTCTCAACCAAATGGGTCCTGTTGCACTTATACAGTCCTCGCTTGCTTCTTTTCCAACCAATGTAGGACTTCACCCTTACTAACACTTGAATATTTCCAATAGTCTAAACAAAACTTCAGAAGATGGTCCCACATTTGTCTTGTTTACAGTCTTTGGATTGTGAGTCTTGTCAACAAGGGAAATACATGTTCTTACTTTGCTAGTCATGAAAACAAAAGGACAAAGATTTCCTTCTCTCTTGTTCACTCAAATATTTGGGGTCCAAGTCGGGTCAAGTCCACTTTGGGATTTTATATATTTTGTGACCACTATTGATGATTATTTTCGCTGCACCTGGGTATTCTTGATTAAGAATCGTTCTGAATTGTTCTCCATTTATCAAAAAATTTATCCTGGAGTTTGTACCCAATTTGAAACCATTATTCGTGTTTTGCATAGTGAAAATGCGCGAGAATATATGGCCTCTAACCTGCAAGAATTCTTAACTCAATAAGGCACCTTACATCAGCCTACTTGTCCTCATATTTTACAACAAAATGACGTAGTTGAACGCAAAAGTTGACACCTAGTTGAAACAGCCAAATCTCTACTGCATATGAATGTTCGTCTTCAATTTTAGGGAGATGTGTGCTTACTTCATGTTATCTTATAAACCACATACCTTCCTCTGTGTTAGACAGTAAAGTTCCTCATCACATCTAGTTCCCTGGTGCTTGTGCATCCGATGCCTCCTAATATTTTTGGTTATACGTGTTTTATTCTGGGGAAACACAAGCTCAATGCTAAAACCTTCAAATGCCACTCTATTAGTTATGCCCGTCTTCATAAAGGATATCATTGCTATTCTCAGGGCCTCAGACTTTATATTGTATCTGTAAAGAACCTTGGAATATATATCTCAACAGTATCTATTGATGTTACGTTTTTTATCATAAACCTTTCTCTACTTCAGCCTCACAAGTCTTCGAAATTGATATTGTTAAGGGATATATAAAACCATTAATGTAGCCTCACCTACTAGCTTAAGTTTTTAGGTTGAATTGGTTCTTTACATGGTATTAGAGCTTCGGTGTCTCGGGTTCGATTTTCGCCGCCCCCCATTTTCTTTGTGCAATTTCTTAGCACAGGTAGGCTGGCCCTGATGTATCGTCCACCTTTCAAACCCAATGGGCTCTCTTGTGAGAGGACATGTTAAGAGATATATAAAACCATTAATGTAGCCTCACCCACTAGCTTAAGCTTTTGAGTTGAATTGGTTCTTTACAGATATTATCTTCCCTATTCCCTTTAAAGATCCTTCGTCTACACTCTACAGATGTCTTGTGATCACTTATCAGCAATGTTCTCACCCTCCAACTAGTGGTAGCCCCATCTTAGAAGATACTCTCAGTGACTCACTACTACAACTATTATTCCCTTTGCTTTGGCTCTTGCATCGGACAATCTGCCTATTGTGCTTCTCAAAGGTGGCCGATCCACTCATAACCCTCACCTGTTTTATGATTTTTTGAGTTATAATCGGATTTGTTCACAATATTTTACCTTTATATCTAGTCTTTCCTCTATAACCATCCCTAAAACTACAAGTGCTATCACATGTAAGATAGTGCCAAACAATGGTCGATGAGATGTTTATCTTGCACTCTAGCGGCACGTGGGACCTTGTTCTTGCATCTATAGGAAAATCCATGGTTGGTTGTCGCTGGGTATTCATTGTTAAGGTCGGACTTGAAGGCATTGTTAATCATCACGAGGATTGTTTGGTTACCAAAGGATATTCAGATCTTTGGCCTGGATTATGCGGACACCTTCTCTTCAGTCGCTAAAATGGTTCAGTCTGACTATTCCTTGCCCTGACTGTTATTTGTCCTTGGCCCCGCCATCAACTAGACATTAAGAATGCCTTTTTACATGGTGATTTGTAGGAGGAGGTTTACATGGAGCAACCACTCGGTTTACATGCTTTTTTACTTCTTGGCAAGCTACGCTATTTCTTAGGTATTGAGGTTGCACAATTTAGACATGGTATATCCATCTCTCAAAGAAAGTACACGTTGGATAATTTGGAGTAAACTGACATGTTAGCATGTTAGTGAGCCTTTTTGGTGAATGATGCGTGTATCCTAGGCCCATGGACCAATTTTATTATGATGGCTAGAGGTGAATGTAAATGGATTAGGTTAGGTTTTAGTCTAAATAGGCCAAAACTAAGTAAAATATTTTGAGTTGGCTTGGCTTATAAGTCTAGTATAGGTTAATTTATAGATCTAGTCTGGCCTATATTTAAAAATATAAAAGGTCTGACCTAGACCTGTTAGATTATTTAAACCTATCAAGCTTTCAAGACCTATCAAGAATTAGAAAAAATGACTAAAACAATATTATTTTATAATTTAAATTATTTAAATAATAATTTATTTTTTTATTCAAAATAAAAAATGTGATAAAGGATGCCTTGTAAGCTTATAAGTCAGGTCTTGTAAATTAAGGCCTATGGCCTGTTTTCTAAACAGATTTTTTTTAAGACCCAAGCATGTTCTATTTTAATAAATACACTAGGTCAAGTTTGACCTAATACAGGTCTAGTGGTAGGCCCCTGATCGGCCGGCTAATATATTTACACTCCAAATGATGGCTTTCATGGCTTTGGAAGAAGTAGACAAGCAAAAAGGTGGAAATGTATAACTTATACTACACTTAAGCATATCTGGTTCAATTGTAATTTTCATAGAGGTTTCTCTTACACAACACTTGATTTGGGATAAGAGCAAGATTAGGCATATGGATTCAATTTGGTGTAAAGCACATGTTCTGTTTAATGGGTTTTCCTTCACAGATTTGTTGAGGAATTGGGCAGCCTAGCTCCATCGATGTTCTCTTCCTCTTTGATGTTTTGCTTTGTGCTCTTACCTTAAGGAGAATTCCTTATCCTCCCAAATCTCTGTAATATTTATATGTCTAAATGAATTTCTTCTTTTATTATAAAAAAAATAAAAAATAAAAATAATTCTATAAGCCAATATTCAGATATAAAAATTGCACCCGAACCAACTGAGCACTCATGAAGCTACATCAATACTACTTAGAAATCACTTTGTAAGTTCTTGATTATTTTTACATCAAATAAATGGAACTTGATCAAAACGAAAGATATCAACCAAAACCAAAATGTCAAAAAAAGTCGACAACCATTTTTTTAGTAAATTAGTATTTTCAATAAATTATTGATCAAATTGATAAAACAACTGATCTTAAACCAATAATATTTTTCTCTTCACTCGATTTTTTTGAATTTTTCTTTTGCTCTTCTTCTCTACCAGCAGCCTTCTTAAAATTCCAAGTTAATTAACCTCAAAATGGACGCAAAATGCAATGGATACTACAGACACAGTTCTAATAAAATCTATATATGTTTGGGTAAATAAAATCTAGATTTTTTTTTTCAGTAAACAAATCTATATTTACATATAAGCAAATATCATTAGGATAGTTTCAAAATTAATTTTAAGTTAGACCATTAAACTTACTTGGAAGGTTCCCTGTACAACCCTAAGTGGCCGGACCATTGATGATGGTAGCTCGAGAACAATTCTTTCATCAAGCTCACTTGGAACATACCCAGGTGCAAAGGCTGAAGAACTCTGAACAACACTTTCATCAGTTTCAAGTTGAGTAGCACTGGATTCTAAAGTCGATTGTACAATTTGCTCAGTTGCTTCGGAAAGTCTAGGCAGATTTTCTACTTTATCTTCAATATCAACGACCCTAGCATCCAAGTTCTCAGTTTCAACCTGTTCTTGGTATTCATGTATTCCTTCTATTGAGATTGCTTCTGCTGCCAAAATTGGAGTTCTCTGACCATTATTCTCCCTTGAACAATCCTCATAATTGGCTGCAGAACCCAAATGATCAGACCCCCCATAATTCCTCTTCATGCATCTTCTCATCCGAGAAGAACTTTCCATAAAATCTAGCTTCCAGAAAACCTAGATATTTATAAAATAATCAGCATTGCGAAATGAATCATTGAAATTTTTTATTTTGATAAGATTTCAATATTAGAGAACATGAGTTGGGCAGATAAGAAATCCTCCAAGAACAGCCCAAAAAGGAAAAGAAAACATTAACAGAAAAATTAAAGCATCAGCTCGAAAGAGCAGTCCAATTCTTTTGCAAAACCAAAATCCCCCGACATAAATGCAAGGGACAAAAGAACAAAAAAGCTAAAGTCGTTGTTTTTGAATTCTAGGATTTTGTTCCAGGCATATATACCAAAAAACAGCAAGCAATATGCATCTTTGTAGAATCTCTCCTTATAAAGAACCATTTCAACTCAAAAGAATAAATTGTTAGGTGAAGACCAATTAATCTTTGTATTTCTCTAACACAAACCCCCCCCCCCCCAACACACGAGTTTATTAGATTCAAAGGGTGGCAATGCACATGCCCCTCCTACCTATGCTAAGAAACTCTATAATATTTAATTATTTATTAATAGAATGGGACGGTAAGGATTGAACTTGTGACCACTTAATCACAAAAACTCTAAAACAATGTAAATAACCATTTCAACTAAGCTTAAGCTTTTGAGTTCAAATGCTTCTTTACTCTTTATACTCTTTAAAAGAGAATTTATGGCCAGAAAGAGATAAGAAGCAACAAAGAAAGCAAGTTTGTTAGCAACAACGTAGACAGTTATATGATAACATACACGAGGGGGGCTGTATAAATGATCTGCAAAAGGCCCAAAAAGACTTCTCATCTCGATTAACTGGCGAATAAGTTTGCGCCATGCACAATATCCAGTACTGATTCGATGCCTGGCTATTCTATCTACACAAGCATGCCTGTCAATCTGGCAACCAAGAAATATTTAACATACAGAATCTCAATATAATCTGAAAACCATACTAAAAATTTGCAAACAAACCTCAGACCGTTGCATATTCCTTGCTAGGGCCAAACTGGCAACAAGAATAGCAATAAATTTATATGAGAAAGCATTAAAATCTTTCCCGTACACCGACTTTGTATCAACTGGCTGCAAACATTCCATCCAGGCAACTCCCATTGCTTCAGTAATATTCCACCTCTTAACTCGCTCCATATCACTAGCGCTCCTTCGCTGTGCAGATGTGGCCATTGCAATGGCACTAAGACCTCTTCCAGAACCAACCCTTGAAAATCGCTGAAGATCACGAGCAGCTGCCAAAGCAGCAGCTTTTGCAGCAGCTTTGTTCTTGGGTAGTGGTGGTGTCTTGTTGGGGACTTCTAAAGGTTTTTGAAAGCTTGAAAATGTATGAAGTTTAGCCTGTTTGCGTTCCATCAATGAGGTATCACGCCTAAGCTGGGCACTTGTTGAAGGAGCATGACTTTCACCACTTGAGGTACCAGCTGCAATCATAGCCAATGCCATTGCAGCAGGTGGAGATGCAAAAGCAGCAGCCCAGGCTGGAGTTATCATAGAAAGAGCAGCCTGAAAGAAATGTCAGATGCATAATTAAGTTAATGCAGCAAAATCATATCATAAAGAAACTCATTTTAAGCAGATCACTTGAACTTTCTTGTATAGGTATTATTTCAATGACAAGCAAACTAATCCCCATGTTCCATTTTTTATAGTTAGCAGTCAGTTAACAAAAATCCCTTGTTACTCAAAGTTAGTAGCAGAAATTTTATAAAAACAAGAAAGTAACAATATAGAAAGAAACCCAAGCCGCATGAGTACATCTGTGTAACAGTCCACATATGCAATTGTGTATTAATGCATGCACATATATCTGTTTCAGTGTGTGTACAAAAAAGCATATGCACATTAAACTACCTCAATTGGCAGAGCATCAGCAGCTATTCCGCAATCATCCGCAATAAGAGGATTCAAACCATCAGCAGTTGCAAGTTCGTGAATTCCAGCCAAAAGGGGTCGCCACCTCCTTAAGACAGCAACAAATGGTGGTAAAATAGCCTCGAGGTACTTTTTACGAAGAGGCTTTCGGTCTATGCTAACAGCATGGTATACCTGACCAGATATTGTACTATGGTAACCACAATTGTTGTGCGCAAAAGAAAGACAAAAGATGCATACTGTGAACAACAAAATAAGCAAGAAGTAAAATGTTAAAAATGAAAATACTAACCTCAGAATAAAGCACGCAAGATGCTACTAAGACTCTCTGTCTCTTAGAATCAGAAATTGGCGTGTTGAGAACCGGTGAGAGAACACTGTCAAAATTACAATATATAAATAAGACAGCATTAACCTGTTGAAATTATAGGGTTCAGGTAATAAAGGAGAAAAAGAGAGAATAGAGGCTCAAAATAATAGTATATTAAATTGATATGGTGTATTATGATGTGATGATACCAAAGACAAAGCACTAACCCTTATCTATACTAGAAATTAGATTAAATACTAAACTCCTAACCCTAATCGATAAGGAAACGAAAAACTAACTAAAGATAAGATAAAATTCCGGAAAGTAAGATAAGATTCCTAAAATAAGGTAAAACAATAATCCAGAAAATAACATAAAATATCCAAATTTGTGCATCCTTCTCTCCCTCCAATGATATTTTGTGGATATTCCAACACTACCCGCAAGAAAAAGCTTACTAAGCTTTAAGCTTGTTATAAGTAACCCCTTAAAAAATAAAGAGGGGGTGGGGGGAACATAAAGTTGGCTCCCATAACACATGGATGAAGAACAATTCAAGAATGGAGGAGATGCCAAAGTCTATATAGATGAGTATTGCTAGAAAGATAATAAAAAAATAACTGAAATGACATCATTCTGAAAGAAGTTTCTTAGCAAGCAATGAAAAGCACCAAGACCCAAACTTTTCCAAAAACAATATTTGGAAGCTTTAAACCAAAAAAAAATGTTGGAAATCCAGAAACTTTGAAATACGCCTAGCATGTATCATAACCAATATAGAAATCACCATGTGCATAATTTACAGAGGGTAGAGAAATCAACATTTGTAAAAGTCATGGCAAGTAGGGAAATCAACATTGGTATGATTTACAGCAAGTAAAAAAGTCAACTCTAATATGACCATCAAAGGGTAGAAAATTCATAACCAGAATGATTGATACCAGCAACATTAACAACTCCTTTATCCCAAGCTAATTGTAGGCAATGGTCAATGAACCCAAATAAAAGCAAGAAAAGATTAAGGAAGAATAAGAATAAATGAGAGGGAAGAAATGATATCAACATCATAAATTGAAAAAGGTAATAGAAGTGTAACTAGGGTTTAGGTCATCATTTTTACTTTTTCTCCCTTAATGCAATGATAACATTGGCAAGAGAAGAAAGACAGATTTAATAAGAGAATACCGGAAAAGAAGGAAAAAGTCGCCCCAAAGACAAACATGGCAAAACAATAGCAGTTAAAAAGAGAAACTAGGTTATTATTGCCATAGTTGATGCATGGCCAATGAGAAATGTCGTGCACCAACATTACCCAAAAGCTTAATCTATTAGGTGAAGGCACGTGAATAGTTTTGTATAGCACCTCTAACACACCCCTTCACGCAAGAACCTTTTAGGTTTGAAATGTGGACAATGCATGAGCCAATTTACCTTATGCTGAAATTTAACTGTAAAAAACTAATTCAACCCAAAAGCTTAAGCTGGTGGGTGAAAGCTTTTTTAATGGTTTATAATATTCTCTAACACACCCCCTCACACAAGAGCCCACTGGGCTTGAAGGGTAAACAATGTACAGGCCCACTTACTGTACTAAGAAAATTCCACAAGAGAAAATGGGGGGCGGTGAGAATCGAACCCGGACACCGAGGCTCTGATACCATGTAAAAAACTAATTCAACCCAAAAGCTTAAGCTGGTGGGAGAAGGCTTTTTTAATGGTTTATAATATTCTCTAACATTAACTTTTTATTATAAGAATGTGGGTAATAAGGATCGAACTCTAGTCCACTTGGTCATAGAGGGCCTAATACCATCTCATAAACCAACTATCCCAAAAGCTTAAAAGTTAGGTTAAAATACAAGAATGGTTTTATATTACATCTCTAACATGAAGCAAAAAATCAGAAAGATAAAGACATCATAGTAGTGGAGACATAATTATCCCTTGAATATTCTTATCCCTAAAAATAAGAGGATTTTGTATCCTCTTTTTCCATTGTACCATTATTTTCTTCGTCTTAATGAATTTGTTCATTTATAAAAAATATGTATGTCAATAAAATAACAATTTCACTATCGATTAAGCACCATTATCTTACTCTAAAGATATTTTGCAGATATTATAACATAATCTATTTACAATACCGTTTGTTTATTTCAAAATTATAAATTTATAAATTTTCCATATCATTATTTGAATAGAGCATATGAAAATAAAATTGTAAAGATAACAATTTTCTATAACTTAAGTCCTAATAGATTTATGTGAAACCAAAGGCACGAGCAATGTAGCAAAAATAATGCGGAAGCGTAGGAACAAAAGACTAATGGAATTTACATACTTCGGCTTATGGCCAATGTACACGCGCAAAGACAACCAAATATTTCCTACACACATCTCTCAAAACCCAAACCCCTAATACACCCAAATTAGCTAGCATTATTTTGTCCTCCATCTAATACTCACAAAATATACAAAAACTTAAGGAAGCAAGTCACGGAAGTTTATCATAATAAAGTAGAGGAGATTTAAGGTGGTTTTTGGTTTGTTTCCTGTTAGAAATAATACAATATTAAATAGTATTGTATTATTTATTATTCTGTTATTCTAGCAGGTTATTTGGGCTTGGCCCATTAGGTCATTTAACGTCTTTAAATAGAGGTTTTTTGTACAGTTCTACACACAATTGAATACAATACATTCATATATTCTAATTTGGTACCAGAGCTCTTTGTTCTGGGAATTTTCGCTTCCGCTAAACCCTAAGCCCACTGCTTAGGCATTCTCTCCTTCCTCTAACGCCGTGCGTCCCTCCGGCTTGGTTCTACACTGTTCACGCGGGTTTTTAAAAAAAAAAAGAAAAAAAAAATACTGTTCACCGCGTCAATACAGTTCGTACAATTTTCACTATTCACCGTCCGTACATATTTCATTGTTCACCGTTCGTACGTTTCACTGTTTATTGCGTCCGTACAGTTTCACTGTTTATCGCGTCCGTACAGTTTCACTGTTCACTGTCCGTACAGACATTGTTCACGCGTCCGTACAGGTACTGTTCACGCAAAAAAAAAAAAAAAATTCGGCCATTTCGAGACAGAACCTTCCTCTCCTATTTTCAGATCTGGTCATCTCCTTTATTTTATTTAGTGATGGAGGGCTCAAGTAATGCGTCCAAAAACACGACTGGCATCATCTCCAGTACTACCCCATCTCCATTCTTTTCTCGGGCCAGTGATTCCAATTGGAATAGTGGACGCGGTCGCGGACGTGACCTCGTCGCAATTATTGCCGTAATCTTGGGCATTTTGAAGAACGCTGCTATAGGAAGTACCCTCATTTGAAGCCACCGACTGACAACTTTGCTCAAACTGATGCTACACCACCTTCTACTGGATTAGTAACTCTTTCAAGTGCCGACTATGAGGCACTTCTCAAGAAGGTTTCTTCTCAGCATCCTACTCAAGACACTGGAAATCATGTTGCTTGTTTTTATCAATCATCTCTTAGACCCTGGATAATAGACTCAGGTGCTACTCATCATGTTTGTGGTAATAAAGATCTCTTCACGTCACTTTCTTATTCTAATAACCTACCCCCTGTCACTCTTGCTGATGGCACTAAGGCTCCTGCTCGTGGAATTGGGAAACCAACCCAACTCCCTTTATAACTTTGAGTTCTGCTTATTATATACCTGGCATTCCTTTTAATTTAATCTCTGTTAGCCAGTTGATTCATTCTCTTTCATGTACTGTTACCTTCTCTAAGCAATCCTTTTCTATGCAGGATTCGGGTACGGGGAAGACGATTGGAGCGGGCATTGAGTCACGAGGTCTCTACTATCTGATTGCACCACCTTCTCCAGTAGCCTGTTTTCTCACAGAGTCTCCTGAGCTAATTCACAGCCGTCTGGATCATCCAAGTCTTTCCAAGCTTCAGCATATGGTTCCTTTTTTATCCAGTCTTAAGTCTTTAAACTGTCATTCTTGTCAGCAAGGAAAGCACACTCGCTCCTCCTTTGCTAATAGAGTCAATAAAAGAGTTTATGCTCCTTTTTCTATTGTTCATTCTGATATTTGGGGTCCGAGTCGAACAATGTCTGTTTTGGGTTTTCAGTATTTTGTCACCTTTATTGATGATTTCTCTCGTTGCACTTGGGTTTATTTAATGAAAAATCGTTCTGAATTATTTTCAATTTATCAAAAAATTTGTGCTGAGATAAATACTCAATTTGGTGCTTCTATTCAACTTTTGCGCAGTGATAATGCAAAAGAATATGAGTCTCTTGAGTTTTTTAATTTTTTGGAGAAACGTGGTACGATACACCAGACCACTTGTCAACACACTCCACAACAAAATGGAGTGGCCGAACGTAAGAATCGACATCTGGTTGAAACTGCTCGTACCCTACTAATTCATATGAATGTTCCACTTCGTTTTTGGGCAGATGCTATAATCACCTATTGCTTTTTCATCAATCGCATGCCCTCTTCCGTACTCAATAACGAAGTTCCACATAGTGTTTTATTTCCAGGAGCACCTTCCTATCCTCTACCTCCACATGTATTTGGATGTACCTGTTTTGTTCATGATCTTACTCCAGGAAAAGATAAACTAACATCCAAAGCCTTCAAGTGTATTTTCCTTGGATATACTCGTTTTCAGAAGGGGTATCGTTGCTACTCTCCTGATCTCAAGCGTTATATTGTCTCGGCTGATGTCACTTTCCTTGATCAACAACCTTTTCATTCTATCCCATCTCAGATAACACAAGTTCATCAAGTTCTTCTTGTTCCTTGTCTTGATTTGTCTTTACCAGTTGCAGGAGACTCTATCCCGGAGGAGCAGCCCCTTGCCTCCATCCTTGAGGACCGTCCTTTTCACACCTATCAGCGTCGTCAGCCTGCGCCTCCAGCGGATTTGACCCTTACTGACTCAGCGCTTGCTGCTGTTGACTCTTCCCCTCCGGATCCTCCGTCAGAAATTACTCCTATTTCCCTTCGCAAAGGTATTCGATCCACTCGTAACCCTCATCCACTTTATAGTTTCTTGAGTTATGATAGACTTTCTTCACCACATTTTACTTTTGTTTCTAGTATTTCGTCTATTTCTATTCCTAAAACCACAGGTGAAACACACTCTCATCCGGGTTGGCGTCAAGCAATGATTGATGAAATACAAGCATTTCACTCCAATGGCACATGGTATCAGAGCCTCGTGTCCCGGGTTGAAACTTCGCCTCCCCCAACTTTCTCTCTTGTGGAATTTCTTAGCACAGGTTGCATCATCCACTCTTCAAACCCAATGGGCTCTCGTGTGAGGGGGCGTGTTGAGATATATAGTCCCACATTGGTTGTATGAGCCAACTAATGTGGAGTTTATAAGGCCTTGGGTACTCCCACCCTTTGAGCTAGCTTTTGGAGTGGTGTATCCTAAAGTTCTTTACATTTTCAAACTTCATGTACAATATTTGTAGTGATTTAGTAATGCCACATCATAGAGCCTATTTGTTGTAAGCCCTATTTCAAACTCATAGCTGGTTCAGTGAGTTCTGGTTAGTATATTTTCATTAATGGTTATTGTTCAATGGGAAGGAAACGAGAGACAAGACATGTAATTCGTGTGTCTGACTTACAAAGAGGAGGCTATATTATATACCGAATAAAATAATTACATCATAAAGAATCATAAATGTGGGACTCAAACAGTTACAATATTACTACTCTATTTACACATACTCATGACATTCCCCCTCAAACTAAAGCATAAAAATCATATGCACCTTGTTACATATATACTCTATTTGAGGACCTCACAAAGACTTAGTGAAGACATGTCAATTGATCATTTGAGTTAACGAAATGGGTGACGATCTCTCCTTAAAGGATATTTTCTTTGATGAAATAACAATCTGTTTCAATGTGCTTAATCCTTTCATGAAACATTGGATTGGAAGCAATACAAAAAGTAGCTTAATTATCATAAATGAGTTTTGCTAGTCAAGTGTCTCCAAACATGAGTTCTTTAAGCAAATGTTTTTAGCCAAATGAATTCACAAGTAATTGTGGTAATGGAAAGATACTCAGTTTTAGCATTTGATTGAGCAACCACACTCCGTTTTTTACTTTTCAAGGATATTAAGTTATCTCCAATAAATACACAATACACTGAGTTAGATCTCCAATCAGGCGAGCAACCTGCCCAATCAGCATCTAAGCACCCAACAACCTAAGTATTACCTTTATCTTTATAAAAGAGACCTTATCTTGGAGCTGTCTAAATATACTTAAGAATATGAATCACTACATTTCAGTGTTCTTCACGAGGAGAATTAAGAAATTAATTTACCACAATAACTACAAATGAGATATTTGGTCAAGTGACTACGAGGTAGTTTAGTTTCCCAATTAATATTTTATATCTTTTGGGGTATGAGAATGGCTCCTTCTAATTTGGCAGAAGCTTGACATTCAAATCAATAAAAGTGTCAATTGGATTTAGCTTTCAACAAAGTTATTTCCACAAAAATGTCCATAGCATCATCTTTGAATTGGACCGCCGCTATCCCTAAAGAGTACCAGAGTTTTCAAAATCCCTTGTCTAAAAATTATGGCAGAGATTTTGTTTCACCTTATTAATGTCACGACGATCATTCCTTGTAATGACAATGTCATCAACATACAACACCAAATAAATGAATCCTGAAACTAGGTGATGATACAATATTGAGTAATTAGCCTTACTCCGATTCTAGACAAACTATTGAACAACAGTGTTAAATCTTCCAAACTAAGCCCGTAGAGATTGTTTAAATCCATATACCGACTTGTGGAGACAACAAACGAGATTAAACTCCATATAAACTTCTTCACCAAGATCAACATTGAGGAAAACATTCTTGATATCCAGCTAATAAAGAGGCCATTGACGAATACCAACGATAGAAAGGAAAAGGCAAGTTGAGGCCATATTCGCCACAAGGGTGAATGTGTCCCCTTAATCTAATCGAAAAACTTGATGGTATCCTTTCGCCACAAACCATGCCTTGAGACAGTCCACCAGACCATCAAGACGAACCTTGACAATATATTCACCTGCAAGCAAAAACAGACTGCCCAGAGGGAATAGGAACCAAATCTCAAGTGCTACTACTCTAAAGTACACACATCACATCTATCATAGTCTGTGGCCACTATGAATAAGGTATAGCCTTACCTACAGTCTTGGGAATAGTCACGGGAGACAAGGAAGAAAGACAAGCAAAATGGGATGAGAGATTATGAAAAGTACTTCAGCTTTGCATAGAGAAATGGGTAGGTCACTGTCAGGAGGCAAGGGAAGACTTGGAGATGAAGAAGGTGCCCGAGTAGAATACCCAAGAACATCAACAACGAGCAGCATCAATCTCAAGTTTTAAGGCTGGGCGCAGTTGACGATGATTGACTTGTAAGGGGCAAACAGAACTTGGTCAACTTGAGCAAGAGTAAACTGTGGTGGTGGTGATGTGAACTCAACCGGGACCGAAGGAAAAGGTAAGGTAGTAGAGACCAACTCAAGGGTGAATGAAGACGATCCAAAGTAGGAATCTGAATCGAAGATTACACCAACTGAGATTAGATAGCAGCAAAGAGTGACCAAGACTGAGGTTATAGACAAAACAAGTAGAACCAAACACACATTGATGGGGAAACAACAGAAATCGAGGTACTTGGTTATCAAGGGCAAACGAGTGAGTCCAATTCATTAGTTAACAATTAGTGAGAACAACATCACCCCAAAAATGGCAAGGGACATGCCAATGGAGTAAAAGTGTCTGAGTTATTTCAATTAGTCATTTTTTTTGTTTAGCAATCACATTTTGTTGGAGGGTATGAGCACACGACGTTTGGTGAAGAATGTCGTGAAAGACCACAAAATTTTGAAATTGGTGAGACAAATATTCACGTGCATTATCACTATGGAAAGTGCAGATATGAATATCAAATTGAGTAAGAATCTTATGATAAAACTGTTGAATATGGAAAACAACTCAAACTTTTTTTTCATTAAAATAACCAAATACACTGAGAAATCATCAATGAAAGTCATAAAGTATCTAAACCCCATAGTGGAATATCTATCATCTCTCAAGAACCGAAAGTCGGCAAGTGAGGGCACAAAAGTCGTTGGTTCAAGCTACAACCTGGACGGATGGATTAGTCCTGCAGCCGCGACCCAATAAGTCGTGGATTAGTCGTTGTTGGAGATCATGAATCATGCGCGTGTGAGCATATGAATGGGCTACTCGGCCAGAAATTGCCACATATGGGCCGAGTTGGACGAGGCAACTCGAATAACTAGGTTTTTGGCTATAAATCTCATAGAAATTTTTTTGACACAGCAGCCTAGGGTGGAAAGTCACCAATGATGTGACAGACGACGATCGATATAATAATCGGATGATGGGATAGTGGTTGGCAGCTAGGACTGGTGCTAGAGGTACGTCACAACAAGAGAGACTAAAAACCGGATAGATCACAAGGATTCAATTTCCAGAAAAGAAAAAAGAAATTGTCACCACTGGACAATGGATCCACCGGGTAAGCACGAATCAGAATTAGGGTAGTTTCTCGTCGGACTCTCAATACTATGATGAATAAGAAGGAAACAAGACAAATGTGATGTAATCTACATGTCTAATTTACATAATGGAGGCTCTATTATTTAGTGAATAAAATAATTACACCTTAAAAAATCATCAATGTTGAGCTCTAACATTTACAACAGTATTACTACTCTATTTACAAATAACAATTAGAATAGTGTGACCTTGTTTACATTCTTTTTCCTGTTTTCAAAGTATTAGGAAGTAAATGTTGTTTTCACCATTTTCTTCACAAAATCTTTGCACATAAGAAACAGAATGAAAAAACAACGCATTTTTGTAATTATTAATAGAAACATATCAATTCAAAATGAAAACAGAAAAAATCCAAGAACCCCTTAAATTTTCATAAGAATATTGTTTTTGGTCCGATGTTTTAGACTAAGTTGTCTGTTAATTCATACTCGTATACTGTTGTTTGAAGTTTGAACTAATTGTAGTCCAACTCTTTTGGCTTTAGTTTAACAAATTCTGTTTACACAGAATGAAAAAAAAAAAAAAAGGAGGATAAAGTTACAAGCTATAGTGAAAAAAGTACATCTTAAGTACCGCCTGACCAAAGAAAAAATCGAGTAAATGTCAATGTAGCTGACCTTGTATGAAATTTTCTAAGTGATGATCAAATCTATTCCAAGGAAAATTTATCATTCAAGTATTAAAAAATGGGCTGGAGGTAAGTGAGATCACAGAGGTTACTTTACCTATACAAAAGTGCTGAGCGTGGTTCCCTTCCCTCAGATATTGCATCCTTAATACTTGCAGTCCTCATCAGCATATGTTCTTCCCCATCATCATCTTCCCTCATAGACAGAAGAATCATCCGAAGCATGCACAAGAATGGCTGGTCACTGTCTAATAGCTTGTATAATGCACCCATCGCTCCCATTCCAGTACCTGACCCTCCACCTATTCCAAGACCACCACCCAGTCCAGAATCATCTAGCAATAATGCTTGGAGCATTGCCACAGACTTCTTCACCAAAGGAAGCTCAATCCAGTTGCCATTGGCATCTTTCTCCAAAGAAGACTTCCAAATTTCCCATCCACTCCCACCACCACCAAATGAAGCTGTACTTGAAGGAAGGCCAACACCATACCACAAACGGCTCCTATATTTCCACCCAATAGCTAAATCCTTAGCACACGACCCATACGATACAAAAGCACAAGAAATGGATTCATATCGCTCAGCTGCAGCTGCTGCTGCAAGCCTTTCCATAACTGAAGTAGAGATATGACCATTTGCATCAGCCATCGAAGAAAGGACCTAAAAAATTATAAAAGCATGAGTCTCCCCAACGTAGAAATAAACATACGCAATACTAGAAGAGAGAGAGAGAGAGAGAAGGAAGCAATACCTATTAAACTAACAAAAATGTAAGTAAACTAAAAGTAGGAAAAAAGAAAACAAAACAATGCAAAAGATATTTTTTAAATCCAAAGGAGGTGGCCAAAAGTTGGAAATGTAAGGAGAAAATAGAGAAAGCATTGTAAAAAAATAATATTAAAAGTTTTATAAGCAACATTTTTTTCCTAAGAAAAGGCTTACGAAGAATAAGATGGTATGCAACCATTGCATGAATTTTAGAGGAATGACAAGAACAGCATTGGATAGCATATTATTGTATTTATGACATTTAGCATACATGCATGTTTACTTTTAAATTATTGTATACGTACATCTAGAGAGACTCCCTCAGAGTTGCTAGAAGATGATGTGCGATCACCCATAACATCTGTTGATTCTCCAATTGCTGGCAATGATGTTGAGTTATTAGGGATTGGGTAAAACAGAGAAAGGGGAGATGGAGAGACATCTGCAGCACGTAAAAAAGAGGATTGTTTGCTCTGTAACCGTAAATGATCCTCAACAAGCATAAGTATCACAATGGCATTCTCTACTAAAGCCACAGACAAGTGAGCAGCATTCTCAGCCTCTGCCATTGCATCGTTTGGAGATAAACCCTCAGCTGCAACACCAGCAGCAGCCACAGCAATATTTTGAGTCTGCATTAAGGAAAATCTGAATGTAGACATTATTGTTGTTTTTCTTCCACTCTTTTCAACAAAGAAATATAAATAATTGCAATTGTACTCATTCCTGTACATACAGATTTTTATTTCACAAGTGTGCTTAGGAATAAGTGGAGAGATTTTATTTTCTAGATGAGCCTAGACATTAATAACCAAAATTGACTGATGGGGAAAAAATAATATCAGAAGAACAAAAGGACAACATTATCATGCCATGGCATAAATGAAACTCTTTGTAAGGAAAATGCAATAATGATTGAAAATAATATGTACCTGGACCTGCAATTCTCTAGCAGCAAAGTCAATCAAACCCCCCAAGAGTCTTCTCTTAAATATCGGTAACGATTCTTCACGTCTTCAAGACATTAACCAAGGAAGAACGGTCATATAAATCATGATGAAAAATAGTGTAGTCTGTCACTAGAAACTTTTTATCAAAACAAGGAAATAATATAAAAAAGAAAACTACTCCCCGTTAAACCCGACTAGCGAGTGTGGGGTGGAGGTAATTCTTGTACGCAACCTTACCCTTGCATAATTGCAAAGAGGTTATTTTCTTGCAAGGAAATAATATGATAGTATTAAAAGAGTCTGTAAAAATCTTACCCAAAATTCTTCATATTCTTTTTCTACAAAGTTAGACTAGGATCATGGCAATATATTCTGAGAGTAAGAGAGAGAGAGGAAGAAAAGAAAAAGATAAAGAGAAAGCAGAAGAAAATAAAGGAGAACATGCCAACTAAATGATATCGTAGAGTAGCCTTATGCAAAGAACTGCAAATTCATTATCATAAATACCACTAATGTCAATTTATTCAAGCCAGTCTCAGACATAATTGTTCCTCTTTAGGTTCCCTGTCAGTAAATGTGGAAATAGATCCCTCCATCTTTTCATATTTCTTCATCAAGTGTCTACAACTTTTAATCATTTTTAGGACTTACTAAACCTTGTTTAAACTAGCGTGAAACTAAGATTTCCCAAAGGTCCAGCTTATCTTTCTTTTAGTTAATCTTGGGACTACCTTCACTACCCTGGAACTTAACATAGCTCATATTTTTTGTATAAAATCCAAATCATGGACTTTGAAAATATATATTTTATGTTTCGCTAGCAACCATGAAATAGGGTGTTAGAGAGTGTACAAATAGCTTAGTGAGTTTTGCGGTTGTAGTTGTAACAGCATATCTCAACGAACTGCCTCTACATAACTGAATCTAGGTCATAAATATAGAAACTAAGGCCTTGTTTGAATATTTTCTAAATATAGTTTTTTTTTGTTTTCTGAACAAAAAAAACTCGTTTGATAAGGCCTGTTTTATTAAAAAAAAGTTTTAAAATTGTAACAATTTTTTTTGTTTTTAGAATCAAATTTAGAGAACATGTCTGAGTTGTTTTTATTTTGTGTTTTGACTTCTAACTTTCAAAACAAAACAAAAAACTGAAAACACTTGTTTCCATAACTATTCGATAAAACAGTTCTAAGAAGAAAAAAAATCAGAACACAATCAAACATTCCCTAAATAACGGTTTTTCCTTGTTTTCTCTCCATGTTTACATTTAACAAGGTATAAAGAGTTTGATTCGGTCCTGCTATGGCTTTGTCCCGAAACCCATTCTGAAATTTCACATCGCCAAACACCTGTTTCCCTCACTTCTCTGCAACTACTCCGCTCACTTTTTGGCAATTAGTCTCAAATGGTCTAGATAAGAAAAAATCTCTCATATGGAAGTGTTAGATAAATATAAACCATTAATATAACCTCACCTAATAGCTTAAACTTTTAAGTTGAAATCGTTCTTTCCATGGTATCAGAGCCTTCGTGACCAAGTGGCAATAAGAGCAAATGTTTCTTGATAATCTATCCCATACGTCTGAGTATACCCATTTGCAACTAGTCTGGCCTTATATCTATTGACGCTGCCATTTGCAATGAATTTGATGGTGTACACCCACTTGGAACCCACTGGGTGCTTTCCTCTTCGTAATTCCATAATATCTCGTGTTATTTCTTTCTGAAGCATCCATTTCTTCAATGATAGTCAACTTCCAATTTGGATCATGAAGGGCTTCTTGGATGTTTTTGGGAATCTTCATACTATCCAAGATTGTGTTGAAGGAACGAAAACCTAGAGATAATGTGGCATAAGAGACATATTGAGCTATGGGATATAAAGTACAAGACCCGGTTCCTTTCCTGAAAGCAATTGGCAAATGTAAATCCTCATAGGCATGTTGGGTTGGATCCAGATTGTTGGAACTAGAAGCCGAAGTGGAATCCTGGCAATGCAAAGAGCCTAGAATATTTACATTTTGAGGAGGTTGTCTCCGACTATAAACTAGCAATTGTTTCTGCTGATTATTGTCTCCAACTTTTTCCAACTGCTCATCTCCCCCTATCTCCAATGGTGGTGAGTTCTATGATGAAGGGATGGATAAGGGAATAGGTGACACTGAGGTTTCCCAAGACTGGTCTTCATCTGGAAGCTGCCCCTGAAAAGAAGGCTGAGAAAAGAAAGATTGACTATCAAAGAAAGTGATATCCATAGAGACAAAAACCTTTCGGAGAGATGGGGAATATCATTTATATCCTTTTTGAGTAGGAGAGTATCTAATGAAGACACACTTGTGAGATTTAGGATAAAGTTTGGATCGTTGGTGTTATGGAACATAGACAAACACAACACACCCGAACAATTTTGGAGGAAGTGAAGACATAGAACTAAGAGAGGGATGGTTCTTTAAAAGACATGATAGCGGAGAAAAAACTGAAAGACAAGGGAAAGCATTCGGTTGATAAGGTAGGTGGCAGATAGAACGGCTTCCCCCCATAAATATTTAAGGACATTCATGGTGAACATAAGAGCACGACATACTTCAAGAAGATGTCTATTCTTTCTCTCTACTACCCTATTCTGTTGAGGAGTATCAGGACATGAACTCTAATGAAGGATACCATGATGAGACAAGTATTCACCAAGGATAGAATATTGTTTGTCCGAAGAATTTTTATGGAAGTGCCAAATTGGTTTTGGACCATGGCATGAAAATTTTTGAAAACTTGTACAGTATCAGACTTTTCTTTGAGAAGAAAGACCTAACACACTCGAGAATGGTCATCACGAGACAGAAATATTCTTTACACGAGATGGACCCCATATATCACAGTGAACAAGAGTAAATAGGGAGGATTCTTTATATTTTCTAATGGGATATCATACGCGAGTGTTTTACTAACTGACAAATGTCACAAGAAAACACATTGGGTTTTTTATGGGTAAAGAGATTTGATAACAACTTTTGAAGGAAACTGAAATTTAGGTGCCCTAACTTACGGTGCCACAACATTACATCATCACCACAATTGGAAACAAAGAAAGGATCATTTACAACAAAATCAGCTTGATTCTCCATATAATCAGATCCCTTAAATTAGGGACAACTAAGCTTTATCCTCTCTGATTCCTGTTCCTGAAAAACACAACCATGCACCGAAAATTTTGCAAAACAACTAAGCTTTATTGTCTGCTTACTAACATAAATGAGATTGCATGCTAAATTAGGGACATGTAGAAAAAATTTAACATTTTTCCCGATCCCTACAATTTGGGAAAAACTTCCATCCACTATTTTGACCCGAGAATTCTCATAGCATGGATGTTAGGAATAGAACAATGTCGGATTAACTGTCGTGTGATCCGAGGCCACGGAGTCAATTATCCAACAAGTACTACCATCAACATGTATCGCAGTACCTTGTTTAACTACATTGCTAGATGGCACACTCAACAAACTAAAATATGGCATTTCTAGCTTTGCAAATTCAGCCTCCAACCCATTGGTCCCAACAGCTTCGCTGCTTGAAGTCTTACCACTCTCAATCAAATTTAAAGTTGAGGTATCCAATTCGAACACAGAAGAAGCTGATGCATGGGACATGATACTCTCTGAGTCATCCAAAGCAGCAAACTTACAGCAGCAGAAAGGGCACCAATTCGAGCCCAACAGCAGCAGCAGGCACTCTGTCAGTTGTTTTTTTCCTTAGGAAGCCATAGTTCGAAAGAAAGCAATGTCTCTAATCACTGATTCGAGTCTTCAAAAGATCGGAGAAAGGAAGACAAGCCGAACGAGACCAGTCCGGTCCGAAACAGGGTCTTGCAGGGCGGCAAGTGGCTTTCACGCTCCAGAAGGTGGCTGCGTATGGGCACACGTAGGGATGACGCGCCAAGTTTTCTCCGGCCCGTGGTAACGCATCGTAGGGCAGATTCAGGTGGGTGTAATGCCCGGCCACTTCAAGAATCAATGACTATCCCCACATACTAACACGAGATTTTTCAGTTTTTTCAGTGTACTTTTTCCTCATTCGCACACTTTCCGGAAAAACTTCTCAGGAGGTCACCCATCCCAGAATTGCCCCAAGTCAAGCACGCTTAACTATAGAGTTCTTCCGTTCCGGGCTACGAAAAGTAGATGCATCTTGTTAGTATAGGTAGTACCAATCAATTCTTATAAACTATTCCCAACTGTACCGTCCCATACCAGCACAGTCTCTGGAATCCCTCTCTTTCGGGTGTTGAATCAATTCATGTACCCCCATTGCTGGAAGCCTGCCAGGAGTCGCTCCTTGTCCATGCCCTTTCGCACCGGCGATCACTCCCCGCCCTCGTCAGCGTCCGGGATGTTACATTCCCACCAGCTTCCGCCTGGTTCGTCCTAGAACCACACTGTACTGGAAGAGAGGCCCTGCTATGATACCACTTGTAACGCCCGGCCGCTTCAAGAATCAATGACTATCCTCACATACTAACACGAGACTTTTCAGTGTACTTTTTCCTTACTCGCACACTTCCCGGGAAAACTTCCTAGGAGATCACGCATCCCAGAATTGCCCCAAGTCAAGCACGCTTAACTATGGAGTTCTTTCGTTCCGAGCTACCGAAAAGTAGATGCATCTTGTTAGTATAGGTAGTACCAATTAATTCTTATAAGCTATTCCCAACTGTACCGTCCCATACCAGCACAGTCTCTGGAATCCCTCTCTTTCAGGTGTTGATTCGATTCGTTCATGTACCCCCGTCGCTGGAAGCCTGCCAGGAGCCGCTCCTTGTCCATGCCCTTTCGCCCCGGCAATCACTCCCCGTCTCGTCAGCGCCCGGGATGTTACAGTGGGCCTTCTTGGAACTTGTAGATCGGCATTTTCTGATTCCAATTGTACCTTTTTAGGCTGGAAAAATGTTCTGATGGCTCGACGGTGGTGACAGACTGGAATTTGACCGGTTTTGGCCTTCTACAGTGACTGGTAGCCTTACTTTACCGTTGGGACGAAAGAAATACAGCCTTGACAATGTTGTTTTTCAGTTTTCGGGTAAGTTTTCTGTTGATGTGCCGCCGGTTTTTTTGTTTTGGTGGTGGCTAGGCTTTCTTTGAACCTTTTAGCTCTTGATATCATGTAAAAAACCATTTCAACCAAAAAAAATTAAGCTATTGGGTAAAGCTACATTAATTGTTTATATTTATCTAAGACGCCCCCTCACACAAGAGCCATTGGGCTTGAAGGGTAGACAATGCACAAGCCCGCTACTTCTACTAAGAAATTCCACAATACTTAATTATTTATTAACTGAATGGGGCCAGTGAGGATCAAACTCGTGACACTGAGACTCTGTTACCATGTAAAAAATCAATTCAACCCAAACGCATAAGCTGTTGGGTAAGGCTACATTAAGGGTTTTATATAACTCTAACACGCCCTCTCTCACGAGAATCCATTGGTTTAAAGGGTAGACAATGCACAAGTCCACCTACCTGTTTTAAGAAATTCCACAATACTTAATTATTTATTAACTTAATGGGGGTGGTGAGGATCGAACTCGTTACCACTTGGCCACGGAGACTTTAATATCATGTAAGAACTAATTCAACCCAAAAGCTTAAGTATTAGGTGATGGCCTTTTTAATAATTTATATTATTCTCTAACACACCCCATCACGAAAGAGCCCTTTGGGCTTGAAGGGTGGCTAATGCACAAGCCCACCTACCTGTGCTAAGAAACTCCATAAGACTTAATTATTTATTAATTAAATGAGGGGTGGTGAGGATCGAACCCATGACACCGAGGCTCTGATACCTTGTTAGAACTAAATGTTTCATTCATGTATTCAAATGGAATGAGATTTTACAATATATAGCAAAGCCAAAAAAGTAAGAAAGGAAACAACAAAAGCTACATGGGCTAAGGCCCATTACACCAAGTTACAAGAAATTCCCAAGGGAAGCAACAAGTCGAAGCTGTGATTAAAAGTGGGTTTCACTTGAGGTTCCTCGTCGTTTTCTCTCTAATGATGATCGATACTGTGATTGAGTTTATAAGGAGTATCTTGGGTGGTGGTTCGTGGGTTCTCTTGTCTCTTTCAGACTCGGTTCTACCTCAAGTGGTTGATTGTGTGCATTCATGGCAATGGTGAGACGAGATCCGTAGCTTCTTCAACTCTCAAAATCGGCCAAAGGTTCTACAATTTTGATGCACAATTCCAATGAAGGCATTTTGTGAATCTTGAAGTATTCGTTAGGATTAAAGCCATCATTGACTTTTTGATTTTGATTGGAAATCCGATTTCTCATGAACATTCGAATATAATATTGAAGGGACTTCTTGAGGAGTACGATTCGATCATTAGACTTGATACATATGCGGTGACTGAGATTAGATCTCTATTTTTAGCTCATGAAGCTTATGTCAAAAACTAGGAATACGAGTCTTTAATGGATTCGCTCTGTTAATTTGGCACACAAGCAACCAAATACCAATCCATTATTATAACTACTTTTGACTCTTCGGCACCCTTGGTGCTACATTCAATGCCTTTTTCTAATGATTTTGGCTCTGAAGCTCCGTTTTGCGCCATTTCATCATGAAGAAATTGGATAGCGGATTGATCACTACTCCATATATCCCTTTTGGTTATCAATTAACTTACATCTTGACTAAGGGACTTCCCACTGAAAGATTTCAAGATCTCACTAACAAGCTAAAAATGATAAATATCAATTTCTCAACTTGGGGGGAAGTCGTAAATACATATATATTGTAATAATTATTCATTTTCCCCTCTGTTAGATAGACTATGATAAGTCAGATTATAAGAGATTTATGGTACAAATTATAGGTTTTATTAAGAGATCATGCTCTAGATAACTTGTCTTGGCCTTGACAGAGGGAGTTTCATCTGCTTAATATATGGGCAAAGTACCCTCTATAATAACTAAGCAATCCTACCCCCTTGAGCTTGCTATTGGAATTGAGCTAGGATCAGCCATTTTAACATGGTGTCAAAGCTTGCCCAGATAACATGTCTCGGGCCACCCACAAAGGTCTAAGGCCTCTTGTGAAAATCATGCTCCAGATAACTTGTCTAGGGCACGAGGGAGGTGTTAATAATGTTCATGCTGTAGATAACCAATCATGGGTATGAGAGGGCAAAGTATCCTTTATAATGATTGAGCAATCTTCCCCCCTAAGCTAATTTTGGGGTTGAGTTAGGCCTAATTATTCTAATTGGTTTGATTTCTCCATATTGTTTCCCTAGAATTAGCATTTCAATTAGGAAAGTAATAATTAGCAATTATTCTCATTTGCCTATATGATGGCCTTTGAGATTTGTATATCATTGTAAGAAAGTAAGGAAAAGGCCCAAGACCATCAACCCAATAAAGAGACAGCATCCCTCAACAGTGGTAACAACTAAGAAGTAGGAGGATATCGAAGGCAAAGGAATATAGTTTGTTACAGAAGAGTATCGGTGGCAGGCTGTGAATGGAGAGGGAGAGTTGAGAGGTAGTGGAATTGAGAAATGTAGAGAGGAAGGAGGTGGTTATATGGAGATGGAAGAGTAGAGGAAGGGTACGCAATAATTTAGTGAGTTTATATTTAAATTCGGGAACTCTAAAGGAACTGAGTTATTAGGGTCTTTAGACTTATAGGGAGCAGGGTGAACCTTACATGTACCAGCATTTTTTGTTACTGCTTATTTTCTTTTCTTTACTGCTTTGACATATTGTTGATTTCCTTTCTCTGTTGCTGTTGAATCCCTTAAGAGCATGTCTCCATTTTATATTTTTAATAGGATTACTTGATACTATCACTAAATAATGTAAATCGATGTACATGATTAATCAAAAAATAATATTTAATGTTTCTCATATTCTAACAAAAACCTAATATGATCTGCTAGTGGTCTCATAAGAAAAATCCGGTTGCCCATTCCATTATTGAAGCTAAGTATCGCAATCTTGTTACAACAACCATTGAACTTCTTTGGATTCAGAACTTGCAAATGGAATTGCATGCACCAATGGCTACTCTTGTCATTTACTGTTATGACCTAAGCACAGTCTCCCTTTCCTACAATCTAGTGCTACACACGCGCACTAAATATATGGAGCTTAATAAGAGCTTAATTGTTTCTCATGTTCCTGTTGAATATCAGCTTGCTAATGGTCTGACTAAGTCTCCATCCAAGCTTTGATTCACTAGCCTAAGCGACAAACTCAGGGTGTTTGATCAATCTCAGTTTACTCATCCACCTAAGTTTGAGGGGGGATTGTTGTAGGAATATCTTAGTTTTGCTGTTGTGGTAGTAACAGAATATCTTAACCATATTTGACATCAATAACTGCCTCAACATAACTTATTCTGGGTCTATAAATATTAGAGACAATGTAACAATTCTCCGCTTTCAGAAATACATTTTCTGTTTCTCTCGCTTCTCTCTATCTATCTATTTATTTAATTTCCTCTCATTTTTCCACTGTTTCCTTGTTTTGTCTCCGTGTTTACATTCAACATAGGGTAACATTATACTTTCAAAAATAATTCTGCACAAATAAATTTATAGAAATATAGTCACTTCCAAATAAAGACGAGCCATAGAGAAGCGCTAAGGTTGCTCCTTATGACCAAATGGTCATGGTTCAAATCTAGGAAACAGTCTCTTTACAAAAGTGCAATGGTAAGACTGCGTACAATCGACCCTCGTCCCTACCCTCACAATTCAAAGGTGCATGTAGTCACTTCCAAAGCTTGTGATGGTCTCACAAGTATGCTTTTGTACTAGGAAATAGCATAATGTTTAGTTCAAAAACAATGTCAAATTGTATCAAGAAACAAAAGGAACACAATAACATGATGGATGCATAGTAGTAGAAATGGAGAAGGAAAAGCTATAAGAGCTCATAATGGATGCATAAATTTACCTAATTCGTTGTTGTCCTGTGCTAGATCCACCCACAATAGAAAGCCATTCTACACAATGAATTGTTGCTTCAATATCCTACACAAATTGAGCAACACTAAGAAGTCTGAATGAACCTAATAAAACTATAAATAATGCAAGCAAACAAATATGAACATCTAAAGTTAAATGAATATAGACTAAAATGGCAAGCTGGTAATACAAGTGAAATTCCAGCAGACAGATGCTACATGGTGACTAAAATATTGCATGGCTGTTAGGTGGAGACACATGAATGGTTTTATATTTTATCTCTAACAAATGACCAGTCATGCTCTATCAAAAACCCAATGAAATTCCAGTGAACCAAAAAAATATTTGCAAAATTCATTTCAAGTTCAAGTCTCATCTAATATTTTGACATTCAACAGTTACAACTCCAGCCAACGAAACAAAATTAACACACAAATTACAGGAAAAAAATTATTGCATGAACATGCTGTAAACAAGAAATCATGCAAGTGCATCATGGGCGAGAATCAGCAGCAGCATGAAGTGAGTCCTAAAATAGGGAAGTTAAAAATTCAAATAAATATTAACCTTCCATCCATCCTTTTGGCGCATTGACTGCTCTAGCATGAATATAAGGAAATTATGTATGACGTCCTCTATGTCTCCTTGGCTTGTCAAATCAGAGGATTTACTTGGACCCATCTGTCAAAGCAAAGAATGTAAACAGCATAGTTAAAGAATTACGCATAATAATTACAGAATGACACCATAAAATGATAACTTCACACAACAAATTGACATTATTCAAACAGACACAATTACTTTTAGTTATTTCCTAAGCAGGCCTGACTTTTCCCATACCATTGATTTGGAGCCATACCCATTTGCACCAATGTTGTGGTGGGACAGTAATAGTCATTAAAAATTCATGTACGTGACAGTTTTTAGCATTGTGAAAAGGTATATATGTGTTTATTGAAATTATAAGGATTTATGTATGAAAGAAAAGAAATAATAAAGACTGAATAATATGAAATTGGCATTGATTGGATGTGTTATGATGTGATGCAAACTACACATGTCTAATTCGTATTTATACTAATATTAGACTCCAAATCATAATTAAGTGTTAGAGATACATAAAACTATTAATGTTGCCTCAACCACTAGCTTAAAATTTTGGGTTGAAGTAGTTCTTTACATGATATCAGAGCTTCAGTGACCACAAGGTCACAAATTCGATCCTCACCACCCCCTAGTTGTGGAATTAAATAAGCATAAGGTAAACCAAAAAGAAAAAAAAGTGGGCCTATGCAATATCCACACTTCAAACCCAAAGAGCTCTTGCGTGAGGGGAAATGTTAGAGAATAATATAAACCATTAAAAAGGCCCTCACCCAACACCTTAATGTTTTGGGTTGAAGTGGTTCTTTATATTAAGTAAGGAAAAAAATCATGAAATATAATAAAGAAGCTATTCCTAAGAGATTATATACGATACTCTAAATAATTATAAAAGATACAATCTAGATATTATGAGATATTTTTCATATACTCTAACACTCTCCCTCTAAGCTTTAAATTAAGTTTAGGAAAGAGAAGAAAATTGAGGTGAGAGCAGCAAACTCGTTTTATTTTGCTGTAACATGACAATCGAATTACCCATAAAATTTACAAAATACTTAGGACCAAAGAGTGCAAAAACACTACTTGGACCACATATCTCAAAATGAATGAGAGAAAAACTAGACTCGATTTGACTCTTGACCTGACTTGGAAAGGAATTCCAAACATGCTTCACAAGTTGACATCTCACAATTAAAAGACCATAATCTTGCAAGACTTGAGATCATTTGCTAAATTTTTACAAACTAGGAAGACCGGGATGTTGGGATATTCAGTAGCAGCATACATCATAGGAGCAGTTGACTTGAGATAGGAAAGTCCATGTGATTCATTTCCTATACCAATTGTTTGTCTCGTACCACAGTCCTATTGGCTTCCTTAAACTCAAGGTACTCCTGGAATTTTCTCTCCGAAAGAATAGAAGGTTGTTTTCCCAATAAGACATCATATCTCTTCTCTTCTTCTTGACTAGGGTAAAAATGAGTGACATTGACAATTTTCTCTAAAAACCCATGAAAAGAATAACAAGTTTCTTATGTATGGCTTGAATGTTTACAATAAGAACAATGTAGATGGTTGCCATGGCCTCCTCGAGCACCTCTACTGCCACTACCTCCATATCCACAACGAGATCTTGAGGTAGTCACCAAGTTGATGTGTCAATGGTGTTAGAGTGGAAGTCCAAGGCTTTAAATGTCGGTACCCACAAGAGGAAAGTTTACCATTTAGAATTTGACCTCGGACATGCTCAATGTCATGGCATGCAAAACAAGTACCAAGTACAATTTGTCTAATAAACCCTGTAGATTGTCAGCCTGCAAAAACCTATTCAACTCCTCTACAATATCACATGCCTGAGCGGTAAACTTGTCATGTTATGATCTGGTTGTCAAAGGGGGACCAATTTCTAGGCCAAAGCATATAGGCATTGATTGTCATTAGCAAAAATGTAGGAAATTAGGATTAAAATATTTCTGTTTTAATTTTCTATTAATTAGTGGATACGTTTTTATTTTCTATTAATTAGTGGATAGGACTAATGACTCATTACTAAGTCATCCTTATCTATTTTTTCTCGTTCTCTGTTGTATAAATCTCCCTATCAGTGTAAATCATTTGTATCAATTTAGAAAAAAAATAATTTTTTTATATTTCTATATGGTACCAAAGCAGGTTCATTCCTACCTTAGATCAGCCATCTTCAAGGCTAAAACACCATCCAAACACCACCCAACTTCTGCCCAAACCCAGAAACCATATCTACAAACCTCCAATCGAGAAGGTGGAGTGACCATTCAACTCAGAAGGCTCTGATGAGTCGAACACCACTAGACCCATCACCGTCAGCCACCGCACGCGCCTCCACACGTGCGGCCATAAACCGGCGCGTGTAACTCACATGCCACCTTCCTGACACCTTTTTTCGCTGCGACCTGCCCAGAACCACTCACTGCCTTCTCCTCTACCTGTTTCAGAGGTCAGATCTGCAAAAGGAACAACTTGATTTTTTGGGTCAACGGTCAAATCCTCTCTTTTCTTTCATGGAATCCTCATATCGTTCTTCCGCTTCCTCATCTGCCCCTAATATTTAGTCCTCTGGAGACAACTTAGCCATACAGATCACTAGTCACGGTTGAACGGTAAGAATTTCCTGCAATGGTTTCAACTGTTAAGTTGGTCATCCGGGCAAAGGATAAGATGGGTTATCTCGACGAGAAAATTAAAAAACCTGCTGAGGATGCTTATGATTATTATAATTGGGAGAATAACAACTTCTTGGTAATGGCATGGCTGACCAATTCCATGGAATCCCAGATCAGCCAAACCTATTTGTTCCTTGATACTGCCAAGGAGATTTGGGATGTTGTTCAACAAAATTGTTCCGATTTGGAAAATACCTCTCAAGTCTTTCAACTGAAAATAAGTTGAAAGACTTGCGTCAAAGGGGTATGACCATTACTGGATCTTTTACTGCACTAACAAATTTATGGCAGGAACCGGATCTTCATTATGCACCCAACCTCAAAGGATTGGAAGCTAATACCCAGTTTAACAAACACTTGGAGAAGGAACGACTTTATGACTTTTTTGCTGGCCTCAACTGAGATCTTGATGAGGTTCGTTGTCGAATATTGGGACAGCGACCATTACCCTCACTTGCTAATGCCTTTACTGAGGTTTGGAGAGAAGCTAGTCGACGAAGAGTTATGCTGGGAGAAAAGGAATCAATTGATAAGTCTGATGATATGTCTGCATTAGCTGCCAAACGTACCATTGACCGTTCCTGTAGAGAATCAAAACGGACGGTCGTCCAAGGTGCACCCACTGCAATAAAATTGGTCATACCCGTGAGAAATGTTGAGAAATCCATGGTCATACCCGTTCATTACCTTTATTGATGACCTGTGATAACCCAAGAAAAATAATAATAATAATGATATTGTGTACCCTTATGTGTATAATTATATAATGTCAAACATGTTGGGTTTAGCATAGAGTGGTGTTATAAATATTGATATATTTGGTTGACATTGAATGTTAGTGGTTATCATTTAATTGGTAATATGAATAGTTATTTTCATTTAAATATGACCGTTACAATATATTAAGGATAATTAACGTAATTATGATGACCATTGATATTACTTGCAGTTTCAATAATTGAAATAAGTATGATGACTTTTGATATTACCAGAATTAACATCTCAGTTACAAAACTTCAGCTATAAATAGGGGCTTAACCTAACCAAACCAAATCACTTTCAATCCTCAACATTTCTCCATCTTCTCCTCTTCTTCTCTTTCATGGGATTTCAAATTTTATTTTGGTATTATTCTTCTGGCTTCCGACTGTGCTTCTCTTCTCTAATCGTTTTTCCTCCTCGAAGTCATCAAACACAGAGACTAGGTAATCCTAATCCCTAGGAGATCTTAGGTTAGTTTCATATGAAATTTGTTGGGTATAATCATAATGCTTTAGAAATAATAGATTAACTTTTATAAGAAATTTTGTCTAATGTAATCCTAATCCTTAGGGCATCTTAAATTAGTTTTAGATGAAATTTGGTATACATAATCCTTTAGGTGATCGTAGGATAATTTTATATTAAATTTGCTAAATGTAATCTTAATCCTTGGAAATTTTAGGATGTTTTCATATATTATATGTAACCCTTAGGGTATTTAAATTAAATTATTTTAACCTCTAGAAATTAATTGGATTAATTATTGGGATTTTGGCTTTACTCTAATAGATGTGAATATTTGAATTCCAATTGGAAAATTATGATATGATGATTGGATTTGGGTTTTACTCTTTGAATCTGATTTGGAAAATTATGATATGATAATTGGATTTGGGTTTTACTCTGGTAGATGTCGAATATGAACATTATGATATTTTGGATACTGGATTTGAAAATTATGATGGATGGATTTCGAAATTATGATATTCTTGAAAATTTGAATTTGGAAATTATACTCTTGATTAAATTGATGTGAAAAATATGAAAAATATTTGAGAAAATTTTCCAATTATAACGATTGTGATAAGATTGAATTTTATTTGATTGTGTGTGATTGTAATAAATAATAGTGGGAGGATAGCTTTTGCGATGGTACCTCCTAAAAGTGATGAACACAACCTTTGGGCTTTATGCCTTCGATATTACATGATGTGACAATGATATTTTCCGTTCTTCCCAAAGTGGAATCTGGCAACAGGGTTTCCCAAGGTATTAGTAGCAACTTTGGAAAGAGGTGTGCACACTAGGATTTGATATTTTGATATGGCCAATTTTGATTATACGTGGCTTGCAACAGGGTTTCCCGGGTCACGGGGTAGACTGCCAACAGGGTTTCCCGAGTCTACCATGGTTCTCTTCCCACTAAATACACTAAATGGATTAAATAAAGATTAATATAATTAATAACGAGTTGATATTTGATTTGGATTTTTGAGTTATATTATTTTATTGGATTATTATGAGTTATATTTTTTATTTTTTTATTTATTTTTGTATATTGGATTGGGATTACCAGCTTTGCTGACTGTTTGTGTTTGTCATTGTTTTACG